ACTTGATGAGCTTTTCTGAAGTTACCTGAGACCACAGCCCCACACAGAAGTGGTTTCTTTTCATTCCAGCCCTGAGAAACAAGGAGCCTAGACTGGGAGTTGGAATGAAGTCTATTTATTTCCCTCTTTTTGGCATTTGCACATATCTACTGGAAAGTTTTTAGGTGGAGATGTCTTGCTCTCAAAGGTTCCACAGACAGGAATGGGAAAGATCTTCTTACCCTCAAGCGGGGGGGGGGGGGTGGGATAACTCCAAGCCGAGAAGGAAGATTAGGTAAAATCGAGCCAAACAACCTTTCACTGTCAATTTAATGGGTGGGGCGGGGGGAGGCTTCCTTTCAGACCCAAGTTTCTTGATATAATTTTCTGGCAGCAGTCAGGAGAAGATGCTTGAGGAAAACCAGGCTGCCAGTGTTTTTACTATCTGATCATTACACCGCCACTACTCTACACACACACACACACACAGAGAGAGAGAGAGAGAATCCAGTGCAAAGTACTGTCGCAATAAAGACCTGTTACAATGTCATCTAGCTTTATCTTGGTTGGGGAAATATATGCTTGTTCCCATCATTTTATCAATCAATTGGAGCTCCTCACAAAAGAAGGTGAAGGCATGTATTTTAAAAAAACCTATATGAAACATACAGTGGAACCTCGTGTTACGGACAGGATCCGTTCCGGAGGCCCGTCCGTAACACGGAACTGACGCAAGCCGAAGTCCTGCATCTGCACACACGTGCGACATGATTTAGTGCTTCTGCGCATGTGCGAGCAACGAAACCCGGAAGTAACCCATTCCGGTACTTCTGGGTTGCCGCGGGATGTAACACGAAAACACGTAACCTGAAGTGGACGCAACATGAGGTATGACTGTACACATCTTTTAAAGTGTCCTTTGCACCCACACCTTTTTCTATATACGTGTGTATCTGTGAGGTAGAAGGCATGCAAATATTTTGTTAGTCTTTATTGTGCTACAGAACTCTTATTTGCCCCAACTCTTCCAGGCAGACATTCTTTTCCTGCAGAATCCTGTATCCACTGGATTAAGACATTTTTTTCTCTCTCTAGCACCATTTCCCCCTTCCCCCCTGGTCACTCCCCAGTCTTCCCTTGGGAGCAGCAAATAAAGCTGTTGCAGGCACTAAAAACACAGGCCTGGATCAATAGCCAAATAATCGCCTATTGATTGAGCAAATTGGGAGCTGAGTTAGGGCAAAATAAATCAATGGGAAATCAGATGAGCCAGCTCAGCCCTGGGAGCCAGGGACATGAGCTGTTGCATTTTTCTTCTTGAACTATTGTTGTTGAATTGAGATGGAAGTGTGTCAGGGTCAGAGGTACAACGGATGACCATTAATATCCTATCCTTCATTTCCAACATCTTTTCTTAATGCAATCCACACTCCTTGACTGTTATAGTACCACATAGCAATAATGTGCCGTGTTTTTCTTTCAGACACAAAGAGCAAGCTTGGAATAGTTAACCTAGCATTTTTATTTTATTTTTTATTGTACTTCTGGGAAGTGAGAAGATTCCCATAATCCACTCTGACACATACACTTAGCATAGATACAGCTTTGCTATAACTTGGCTGAGAACAAAGACCGCAGCTAAAATCCCGAAGCAAGCTACACCAAAATCAAGGCTGCCATTCTCAATTTTCCTATGGGAAACAGTAAAGTGTTGTGCTTGGGGACACTGTTGCAGTGAGAGCAAAACTTGCTTTGTTTCCCTGACCCACTCTCCCATCGATACAGATGTCCTCTATGGAAGTATGCATCTCTGTACTCCTGAAGTCAGAGGCAAGGAGTCAATGGACTAGGCTATTCCCCTAAATGATCCCCAGACACCTCCTTCCCAAAGCCCTGGAAACTTCTGCCATGCTTAGGGAGGGAGGCACAATGCTCACTTGCATGACAGGGGGCCCCCATTGCCCTTGACAGCTGGTGCCTCTAGCTCCGTTTCCCAATGAAAAATTTCAGTGCACACCACTGCCTGAGGCCCTACACACACACACACACACACACACACACACACACACAAAATCTTGTGCCCCATGTTTGCACTATGCCAAGCTCTGCCACCTCACCCTCCCATTAAACAGCAGCGACTCAGCTGTCAGGAGGTTAGGTAAGCACCACTGCCCCAACATACTGCCAGCTACTCTCTCCCTCTGTAGAACTGGCGAAGTTGTAGGAAAGTGCCACTAAAATATGTGACATAGGTTAGCTGTATGCTGATTTTTCTTGCTTCAGTTGTAGCAAACAAAATGGTTTGCTTTGCTAATATGCAAGTATGCACTGCTGATGCATGGACCAAGGGAGTCAGTACCAAGGGAAGCAAATTTGGCTGGTCAAGGAAGAAAAGAAAAATGTGTTTGACTTTCAGGAAATACATAAGAATCAAGGCCAAGAACATACAGTTAGGGTCACTGTGATCTGGGAACAATATTATTTAAAGGGATGCCATAAACGTAGTGAGGAGGAGGTCAGCCCAAATGTGCCATGTACTGCCAAATGTATAGCTAAATGTCAGCCAAAAAGTGTTTACAGAAGTCAGGAATTTAAGTGATAGACAGTTGAAGTAAAGCTCAGTATAATATGATCTACATGTGAACATTTACATATCTTGGGAATGTGAAGTTCATAGTGGTGAATGATTACCTACACATCCAGAGAGGCAGTAGCCATCAAGAGCTTGTGAAAGACAATGGATCTATGGCAACCATGATGTGAGAAAGTGATTCTGTCACAGTTACATGGGAGAAACATGAATGGGTCCCTGATTCCTTGTAACAGTCTTATGGACCTTTGGTTCTTAGCAGGTCTGATTTTGCCTTTGATAAGATGAACCAACTCTGGTTTTAATTAGAATGGGGATGGGGAACCTGTGGCCTTTGAGCTGTTGTTCAACACCTATCAGCCCCACAGGTTTCCCACCTCTGATTTAGAGCCCCCCTCAATTAATTGGCATTCTGTAAGCTCACAACTTCATGACGCACAGGGTGCCCCCCCCAGCCCTTGAATGTCATGTTCTGCATTTCTGCAACCCTAGCACCTACTTCAAGTACTCAGAAGCCACTACCATACTTTTGGGTGGCCCAATTTTGCTTCTAGACAAGTTCACTATTATAGCAGGAATGGTATTATTCTGTTGTATTCTTGATCATGTGGATAATGGCTGCCCTGAGAGTTTTGAACTGAAGGGTGTCATAGGAGTATTCTAAATAAAGTGTATCACCAGTAATAAATGAGCAGCACACATACTTTAGATTTCAGGCTTGTGAGTCTTAAGGCTCAGTATTGTCAACAAGAGGTGACAGGGCTGCAGACAGGAGTCTTCCCTGCCTTACTTGCCAGAGGTTGAATCTGAGACTCCTGCTTAGGGCATGTCATTTTAGAGGGTATAACTTTATTTTTGCAAATTTCTTCAGTCTTAAAAATATGTTTTAGAGTGTGAGAAATTCAAATCTGCTTTTATTTTTCCGACTGGACAACATTTAGCTTGGTAGGTCTGCATTTGATGAGAAAGCACAGAAACTGCTATTGGAAAACCAAATAATTTTAATTTTTCTTTTTGAAAACATTAGGTAATGCTCAGTAATGATGATGATACATATTAATATATAATATAACTGCAAGTACATGGCTATCATTTTTAAAGATTTCTGTGAAATTTTACACACAATTCACTTACCAAACAAAACTAAATTGTATTAATTTAACCACAGCTTTTGAGTTCCCAAGTCATGTTACAACTTTTTAGCACCCCTCATTTTTTGGAATTTGAATGCTGAAAAATGCTTAATGTATGCGCTACCATTGAGCTATGGCTCTGCCACCAAAGTGAAATGCATAGGTGTGCCTTTGGTTTCAGTGAAAGAGCTAGGCATGTCCTTTCACAGGGACATTAAAGAACTTAACTTCAGCTGTGCTAGTCTCTATTGCCACCTACACAACCTATTTCTTTAGAGGAAAATCAGGACTATATGAAAGAGGCTGTCGCCTCAAAAATTTTCATCACGTCACATAAAACCAATCAGAGCAAATGTCAATGTGACGCCATCAGTCACAAAGGGTGCAGACACATACATCAGCGCAAGGAAACAGGCAAGGTGTGGCCCAGCCCTTTTCCAGATGACTGCTAGTGTTAAATGCAGAAAACCCTGGGGATTTATACATGAGTGCACCATTCACAAGTGGCAGTGCTGGGCATTCATTTTGGTGCCAGGATTTTTAAAGCAAAGTGTGAAGCACCTCAAATGCTCCAGGGAACTATGAAGAACCTACATGACCAAGAAGTGGTGCATGTGTGGTCTGGTGATGGTTGAGATTCAGGTTGCATAGAATTGGAAGGGACCCCAGGGGTCAGGAATCTCAATGAAAGCATCAATGACAGACAGCCATCCATCTGTCATTAAAACCTCCAGTGGAAATCTGTCCCACTGTCCAACAGCGCTTCTATCAGAAAGCCCTTCCTGATGTTTAGTCGGAATCTCCTTTCTTGTAAGCCATTGGTTCAAATCCTACGCTGTGGATGAAAAAAAAGGCTTGCTCTATCTTCTATGTGCCAGCCTTTTAGAAATTTGAAGGTGGCTAGCATATCTCCTCTTTCCCAGGCTAAACCTACCCAACTCCCTCAACCTTTGGAAATCACTAACTTTACCTGGAAGTGACGTGCCATTTACACCAGAGGTGGGGGGACGGACCTGCTCCCCTCCAGTTGTTGCTGGGCTGCAACTCCCAACCCCCTTGACCATTGGCTGAGCTGGCTAGGGGGCTGATGGGAGTTGGAGTCCAACAACATCCCAAGGGCCACAAATCCCACCCACCCAGCTTTGCAGCAATCAGACTTAATTCTTAATAAGATGGATACGACTGTAACGGGGTGGGTGTGTTAGAAAACACCTGTGCATTGTTAAAGCGAGAAAACGAGGGGCGTGGTAGGTGCCGGAGACGCTGTGGGTGGTAAGCAAAAAAAAGTGGAGCTGGCGATGGAGCCGGCTGCTGATCCCATCGGCGTTAGGACCGCTCGGCGCGCTCAGGTCCGGAGGTGGTATAAGGTTCGCAATCTCTCTCGTCGCTGCCAGTTGCAGGAGGAGATTGCTTTTAAGTGAAACGGCGGTGCCACCCCCTCTGCGCCTTCCTCGCAGCTCGCCCTCCCTCTCGCATTGATCGCGTCCTGTCCTTAAGTTTGCGAGCTTCTTTTCGCCACTGCAGGGGCCGCGGCGAGCGCCCAGGAGCTGCCGGTAGGAGTAGTACCCAAGGAGAATTTGCAGTCCTGCAAAAGAGAGAGAGAGGAGGAGGAGGAGGAGGGGTGTGTTGCATGTATATTTCATCCGATGGACTTTTCCCCGCGTCTCGCCGTCGACGCTGATGTGCAGTGACATTTCTGACTGGAGCGCCGCGACGCGCCCCGGAAGCGGCGGTGGCGGCGGCGGGGCCCTGGGAGAGGCGAGGAGGCTCTGGTCGGCGCCAAGGCTAATTGCGGTGATTTATGTCCCTTCCGAGCACCTTCAACGTCGGCGGCCGAAAATAAAATGAAAGCTGGGGGGGTCCCGCAGCGACAGCCGCCGCCGCCACCAGCACGACGGGAGCAGCCGCGCCACCTGGAGCCGCCGCGGCCGGCGGGCGAGCAGCGCGCGCCCCGCGCCTGCCCGCCAAAAGTTTGACGCCAAGAAGTGCGGCGGCCTGAGGGAAAAGCCGGCCGGGGAAGGGCGGGAAAGTCCCTGCGGAGCGGGACGCCTGAAGGGACGCCGTCTTCCCGCGCCGCCCTTCCCGCCACCTCTGTCCGAGCCAGGTCCCTCCCTCTGCCTCAGGATTTCCCGCCCCGTTGTTAGCCAAGCTGGGCTGCTGCTGCTGCTCCAAAGTGGCCGCGCCAGAGGAGTGGCTAATCCCCGCCGGGCGCCGCGCACGGGGAGCGCCCAGCCACAGCCCGAGGCTCGCTTTGCTCTCCCTTGCCTCGCTCGCGCAAGTCTCTCTTTTTGGGGGGCGTGAGGTGTAACTTTGTTAGCTAGTCGCCTGCGAAGGGAGAGCGGCGGCGGCGGCGGCAACGGCACGCGGGAGGAGCGGCCAGTGAGGGCAGCCCTCGTTTTCCCCTCAGCGTCCCTGCGCCGCCGGAGAGGCACCACAGCCTCGTTGGCTCCTGCGCCCGCCAAGGGGGTCCCGAGCGAAGGCGGCGCCCGGTTCCTCGGCCTCGGCGTCTTTTCCTCCTGCCCGACGCGCGCAGCGATTGCCCCGCACGGTGAGTAAAACTGTTGCCCGCCCTCCAGACGGCGCTGTGCGAAGGAAGGAAGGGGTAAACTTCCCCACCCCAAAACGAGGTTTCTCCCCACTTCGGCTCGCTTGCTTAAGATCCCAGAGCTGGAAAAGATCGAGGACCCTTTCGCAGCCTGCCCGGGGGAAACTTCGCTGTTGGCCAGACACAGAGGCACGAGATCCCATCCGAGGTTTGTTGGGACTTTCTCACCTAACTGGCTGCTGCGGCGCCCTCTTTCCCTTCCACCGTGCAAAGGGCTATCTGAAGGGGATGCTCTATTTTTATTATTATTTTCTATCCCGGGTTGGAGGGATGGAAAGTGGGGAGCCTCCGGTGGCATTGGACCTGGATGCAGCGCTGTGGTTTGCTCAGAGGAAGCGGGTGTTCATCTATCTGCCCATGTACTTTTTATATATATATGCAGCGTCTTCAGATGCATATTTCCGTAGCAAGCAGAATTATTGTGCTTTTCTGGCGTTTCCTCTTCGCCGCCGCCCCCCCCTCCTCCCCGCAGTAACCAATTAAGAGATATTTAGAAGAGGGAAAGGAGATCAAACTTAGATACGAATAGAAACTGCGCCCTCTGCCGTTCGTCCGGGAGGGTCTTCCGTGGGGAAGGCGACCAGATTTGCAATCTTGGCGAAAGGGCGGAAATGTGCTAGGGGGGTTGTTTCTAGGAAAGAGGGCAATTGACCTTTTATTATCAAACAGCGAATATGTTCAGTGGTGGTGGCGGGGATCCAGGCATCTTTTCTGAGAAGGCAATGAAGCTAGAGATGTACTCCTTGGGCTGGCACCGTCTCCCCTGAAATGCATTCTTCTGCTAGTGGGGTGTCCTCAATTCTGAACCATCTAATTAAATTCTGCTTCATAAGGGAACCTTCAATTGGTTACCTTCCTGTCCTGGATCTTTGCTAGCTTAGAATTTCATTTTAAAATCACAGAATCGATGGCACAAGATTTAAAGAAGGGAGAGAACCTCACTGTTGCAATTTACAAAAAAGGGTTATCCTCAGCACGAGATCTTTCCCTGAAAAAAAATTTTTTTTTAATGATGGCAGGCAGTAAGAAAAGGGAATACGTTTGCTAAATACAGACTACTTTTTAAAATGGATCATCTGAGCCAAAGCTGCTAAAAAAGTGCACCGTTCATTCTGAATCCGAGTAGCTTTTTCTGTTCTGTGAATAAAGATTTTTGTGCAGGGAGGAAATGTGATTCAAAATACAGCAAAAAGACTGGGAGAGGTGGCTTAAGCCCAGCTCCACTGGGTCTTCGTTCTGATGTGAAATGAAATACAATATTTCTAAATTGGTCAGATATAAGTGTTGGGGTTGTGGGGCGGTGAGAGAGGAAAATGAGTTTATCCCCCAAAAACAAAAGCATCAGATGACAGTGAGCTATGATGAAAAGGTGTATTCAACAGATAACAACTCTTAAAAGTTTGCATGCTTTACATCTTGTTCCCTTAAAGAAAAAGTATGAGCCATATATTGATAAATATTTCTTTCTTCATCTTTCTGTTTTCCAAATATATGAAAGCAGGGGAATAAATAAGGCAGTGGTGCAGATTGTGGGTTGCCAGGCCCCTTTCCTCATAGGTTTCCTTGTTTTTAGAATCTGTTTGAAAATAGCCCAATCCTAAACCTGCTTAATTGGAAGTACGCCACAGCGAACTTAATTGAGCTTTATCCTTGAGTGGATATGTAAAAGATGATTCTGTCAAATAGATTTCATAACACAATCTTGTTAGACTCGAAATGTGTTCCTGGAAGTCACTTATAACATCATATAAATTCAGCCCATACTTTTCTGTCAAGTTTTAGGAACTTGAAAGATTTCTGTATTTGCCCTAACAAGAGAGTTGGGTAAGTACACCGCAAAATGTGTCATTTGAATCATCGTGGATCCTGTATGAACTATTTCCACAGCAGTTCGCAATTAGAGATGGATATTCATTCTTTCTCAAATTGTCACGCCTAAATCACATTTAAAAGTGCAACTGCATTTGTGATCCAAGGTGTAGAATTATTACTATTATTTTAAACAAAGCCAGGGCTTTTTAGCTTATCGGCAGCCAATTCCTTGCATATATTTAAGTGGTAACAAATATTGAAATTCAGCTGGAAAATTTTGAGTGTCGTGAGAAGTCATCCTGTACGCAGGGTTGCATTGCTACATGCAGAATTGTTGCCGCAGTTTGTTACTTTCCAACAACTTTTCTTACGTTGTGCAGGCACCAGTCTTTCCCTGGTAATTGTTCCTAACTGTTGCAAGCAATAGGCTATTCTGTAGCAGCTACTTAAATGAAGGATAGGCGCTTCAGCAATCTATTGCAGTTATAACAATACATGCTTCCAACAGTGACTGATAATATTGTCCTCGAATGAAAGCATGTGATTCATTTTCCTTCCAATTTGAATACTGTGTTACTCTATGAGGCATTCGTGTACTGTGTTTTCCGGATAATGCTGCAAGACAGAAAAAACGGAACAGTCATCATTGGGGGTTAGGTTGCTTTAGAGCCCTTGGTTTTCGTGATTAAATTTCAAATCTTGTCTCTCTCTCTCTCTCTCTCTCTCTCTCTCTCTCTCTCTCGCCTTACAACTTAAAATTCCAAAAATCCCTCTTACCTTCCCAAGGGAAAAATATCTGCACTGTTCCACAGTTCAAAAATTTTAATTGCTTTTTTTAAAAAAAAAAAAAAAAAGCTAGACTCTTTACCATCAAAATCCTCTTATATATTTCACCCAAACCCAATGTATTTTACTACTTTCCAAGCCTAAGGGCATAAAGCATATACCCAATTATCCATATGGTCCTATTTTTGCTTGTTCAGCAGCTAATTTAGTATTTATGAAAAGCAGTGGGCTAGTTCTAAATGCAGAGGTTTCGCATACACCAGGTTTCCATAGTCGTGGGGGCACTGTACAAAATTGGCATTTTCCATTTTTGATCCCACATCCAAGGAGGTAAAGTGCAAACCCTATTTTATATATATGTTCCCTTTTAGCTTCCAAAGTTGACTGAGCTTGACCTTTATTTTATTTTTTAAGATGTGGGCTGGTTTTAAATGCCGAGACCCTAGCTTACCCTACCAGATTTGATTTCCTGAGTGGTGGTGGGGGGAGTGGAAAATTGTGGTGGTTTATTGCACGTTCTGGATTGTGTTCATAACAGTATTATTGGAGCCTTTGAAGAAAACACCACCCAAAATGCCATGAAAGGTTTTTAAAGAAAACTTGTAGAGAATACCATAGAAAACAGTTGACACATATCTGCTTCATGGTTTCATTATCTATCTACCAAGCTATCTACAGTACTAAGTTATGTTTGATTTGCATGTGACAATGTAACGAAAGGCTGCAAACCTGACCACACTTCCTTAAAATGCATAAACGCTTTACTTCTTTTGAAGTAAATATAACTAGAACTGGTTTGGGTTCTTTATTTTTTTACTCTTTTTAAAATCAAAATCAAGCCAAGTAGAAGAGGCAACCCTCACCTGGAGAGTTCTCCTGACAGCATCCCCAATCATCTCATTCTTGGGTGACAGTTTTTATAATGAGATGATTATTATTGCGAGTGCGGGAAGATGGTGCTGTTCCCAGTGACCAAGCCTACTACAAGAAGCTACATTTGCCAGCAAAATGCTAATGAGAATTGACAGTTCTCTTTTATAATAATTAATTACAGCTGGCATTCGCTTTTGGTGTCTGAGCTGGGGTATCAAATTTGGTATGCGTGATGAATGCAACATGCAAGGCTGGGCATCGATTATCCGTCCATGCCTAAGAATAGATTGCTGATTACGAAGCGATTAATATCACTGTTTTAAGTCACGATAAATGCAAGTTAGGAATGGGTGGGGTGGGGGTGGGTTGTGAAATGCCTGCTGGGTTTTTTTCAGACACTGGAGAATAGGGCATAGGTAGAAAATTTCGGGGTCAAAGTACCTCGGGAGTGATGAGCTATCAGAAACAAGGGACAGCTCCAATACACTGTGTGTTGTGGCTCTGTTGAATACAGTTAGCATAATCCATTTATTTTTCCAGCAGATTGCAATTACCTTTCCTTCAACTAAGGAAGATGCTAGATTTTGTATGTGAGATGCTGTGGATCAATTCAGTTTAATATGGTAGGTTGCATGATTGGATAGTAGGCAGAGGTTATAAACCCTTGGGAGGATTCACAACACCAGACATCTGTCAGTTATTTGCACTTCTTTGTTATAGATCAAATATGAATTGGGAAAATGCTGGGGTGGGGGGGTGGCGGAATCCTACTTGATTCTTCAAAGCTCCACTACAGATGTTAATGTTCAAAAAGTTTATGATAGGAAGTTCAACTAGGAATCTTATTTGAATTGTACTGAAATAAACTGCTGTTCTGTTTAGGATCAAAGTGGAAATTTGTGAGTTCGTGCAAGAAAATAAAATCATTACGACTGTAGGTAGCTGAGACGTGGCTTTCATGAGTTGCTCTCCTCCCTCCCATGCTTAATTGCAACATGGGTCACATGATGTTATTGCCCCAAACACCGACGACCCTTAGTCTGTGATCTTAAGTCAGTATCTTTCCCTGTGTCACTGAGAGCTCATTAATAATGAGACGCTGCCAACCAGCTAAGGTATGCTGCATTAGCTTTTGCCAAAGCATGACATTTTTAATACATTAATAATATGTCTGTAATGTAATGAAAAACTATTAATCATGTACCGGACAGGTGCCAGAAATTTAAGCTATAATTGGCTGCTTCTTGTCAAACATGCCATTCACATGTTCTGGTATCTGTCTGATTCTCAAATCACCTGCAGAATCTTCTCCACTTTCCCCTTGTCAGCACACTAAATTCGATCAATGATACAGTCTATAATTCTGCGTAATGACCATCATAATGACTCTAAACTTTCCTTAATGAGGATTCATTATTCAGGGGAAAGGGTACAGCCTAGTGAAGAGAGGTAGTGTTCAGTGCTGCTCTTAGTCTCCACTTGCTGCATTTGTGCTTTGTGTGTCTGCTGACATCTTGATGAAAAAAGGAAAGCTCCACAAGAAAGGTTAGGTATTTAAGCACACATTTGCTCAGGAGTAAAGGGTCCTGAAAATAATAGGGCTTACTTGCAGAAGTGCATCTTTTTATTCACAAAGGTACTTCATCATTTCAGCATTCATTATATATAGCTTTTTTTCTGGTAATCATACATTTGATTTCTTAAAGAAAAGATCAAATAATACCAAAAAAGTGAATTATTTCTTTAGTAAACCCTTCCCCACCCCAACGATGAATGGGAGCGGGGAAAGGAAATCTGCCTTCTTTCTAAAAAGGTGCATTTTGGACTATACAATGGAAGAAACTCTAAAACAGCAGATTTGAAATGAATCAAACGCTGTTTCTAAATTACCAAATGAATGCATGAAATGGCTTGGTGATGATTACACAAGACTAAGCATACCAAAACTGAAGGGAGATGTTCGACAAGATGGTATGGTTTTAAAGGTATATTCGTTGAAAAATATGTATATTATAAAAATGCTTCTAGGTTTGTGACAATTTAAAATTCCAACATTGTGCAGCTCATTGCTGGAAGGAAATTCAAGTAGCCAGAACACTTTCTAATGCAATGCAATGCATGTAACAGCTGTACAATACCATTTTATGAAATGAATATAATAGGAAATTGCACTTGCGTCCATAAGGCAATTATTGTAATTTGCTATGGAAACACAATTCAGCCATCTGTTGGCACTGCGTAGTCTCTGTAGCTAAGTTCAGTTTCAAGACGGTGCCTTCTTTGAATAGAAGGAACTTGTTTACAAAAATTGCTTTGAAGACCAGGTTCCCTTTCCCTGGAAGTAGATGTTTTCTGGAATGAGCTGTAAGAAGTTACTATAATGTGGGGAGCTTTTTTTTCATATGTGTGCCATCATAGTCTCAATAATGCAGCTAGCTAGAAGATCAAAACTAACAGAGGTAAGCAGCTGTATGAAGCACAGCTGCTTCCATATGCCAAGGGAGAGCTCTGGGAGAGCTGGTGGTGGATGGTGGCTTAATACCAGATTGTTAAGAATGGGGCTATATGATTAAACGCATCATCTTGGGGGAAATTGCCAGAAAGAACCAGCTCCTTGTTCCCTTGAAGTCTGTAGATCAGCCTCCCAACATTCAGAAAGCATCATTAAAGGCAAACAGAGTGGCACATTGAAATGCTTCCATCCCAGCATAGGTCTGAGGACTGTGGCCTGTACCAGGGAATAACTAAACTCTCGTATTTTCAGGGGCCACACTATTCTCCAGGTGCTAGACTCTTAAATTGGAACAATCTGATTTGCTTGCAGATACTCTGGATCCATGAACCAATTGGCACCATCTAAAGCTAAGGGCTTCACAGATTTTGAGCTCAAACATCATATTATATACACATATGCACAAGCTGTGTGCAAAATCCAAGAGAGATGTCACCATCAAGTGTGGAATGCCTTTACTTCTTGGAGCCTGTAAACTCCCCCCCCCAAAAAAACCTTTGGGAACTTTTGATCACAACTTAACTAAAATCTGGTAGAGCAGGGCTGGGCAGACTTCAAGCTTGTCAAATCTATATTCTTGCTGTTGTTTACTAGGACATATAATTAGAATCAAAGCAGAAGATGCCGTAGGAATTTGTTTTCAGTACCAGAACTGAGATGAGCTGACAGCCCCTCCACAGAAAGTCCACTCCCAGTTCTCTTCATTTCACTTCTTTTCATTAATTTAGGTGGGGAAAGTTATTTTGTTGCTGGTACTGTTTAACAACTGGCAGTCAGAAATCCTTTCTGATCTACTGCTGGTACAGAGATCTATCAGTAGATCCCGATGACCCTCTGCCCACCCCAGAGGACAGGAAAGAATGCTTTTGGGGGGGAGGGGGGCTTGATTAAGCCTGACGGCTGTTAAGTGAACATCTCTGTCCCATGGTTCTGTGCATGATTTTGTATTTAGAAAAAAAATAGTTGTAGCATTTAATTAATTTACAGCACAGTGTTTTATGTCCCTCTCCTGTGAACAGAGGGGGTTTGAGAGGATGGCTTCTGCTCTGGAAATTGACACATAAAAGGACATTAAAATAATAATAATAATAATAATAATAATAATAATAATAAAAAGAAAATACAGAAGGCCTATAGAAAGAGGAAATTATTATAAGCTGCAAATGAGCCAACTGTTATCTTTGTCATTAAACACAATTAAACAAAAGAAGCAAAGCTCTTCCAGTACTAATGAGAAAAAATCCAAAGAGACAGAAGTGTGCTCATAATATCTCTCTTATTAAGCTAACAAAAGCTGAGACATGTACTAGACACTTGGAGCTGTCTCCCAGGCCTTCTTTCCAAGAGATGAAAAGCGCACAAGTTGTTGTCAGCCCTTTGTCGCTGTAATAAAAGATCCACTACCTCTGGTGGGTTGGGGGTTTCTATCCCCCTTTTGGTTATGAAATTCAAAAGCTGTTTAAGGGCTATTTCTTGCTCTCGGGCTTTGCCAAGATGGAAATACCATTTCTGAAGCAAATAAACCAAGGGAAAGAGGGACTCAGGACTCACTGAGAATGCTACATATCTGTCTTTGTTAGAGAGGAGTTAAATCTTTCATGTCAAAATAGTTTTGGTGATGAGTGATTCCGGTAGTTTGTTCACTCCAGTAAAAGCCCCTCCAGTAAAGGTTATCCAGATTATTCCAATTTACCTTATATTGTATCAAAGGCTCTTGAAATGTCAACATATCGTATATTTTTCTAATGCATTGATTCTTGGACAATAACTCTTACTTTTATTGTTTCTAAAAGGGTGCTGGTGCCAGAAGAAAAGAATGATTGATGGCAGTTAGACACAGGCCTGTAGATGCTCATCGTTTTGCTCCAACAACTGATTTATCGGTTTGGCTGGCCATTCCTCATGAGCCGCGAAAGAGGAGGATTGCTCAGGATTACTGACTACCCATCTGAAGACTGGCAGCATTGCTAAGCTATCATCTGATTTTGGACGTCCTTTACATATGTGATTAAGGCCCTGATACGTTCTTTTTAAGGCAGTGGACATCCTTCAGATGAAAAACATCTCTTTGTAATGCCAGGCTACCACCAAAGTTTCCAACTTTAAAAAAGCAACAACTGTAACCTAACTCTTCTGCTCTGGTCCGGAACATGTTTTTACAGTAACTCGCAACTCCTGGTGTACATACATGTATAATATAGACTACACCTTTGATTGCTACTGGTTATAGCTGTCAAGGCACCTGTGAAGGATTTAGAGATGTATTTGTCAAGATTCTTGTCACTTCATGCCCTTTGGGTTACTGTGTCGTCGGTGATACAGCACTACACTTCTGCTTGGGGGCATTACGATGTGTGTAAGACCCAGATTTACACAGATGAAGGGAAGTTTTGGGATTACACAGCCTGTCAGCCAGAAGCCATAGATATGATGAAATATGTGAAAGTGAGCCTGGATCCACCAGACATAACATGTGGAAATCCACCAGAGACCTTCTGCGGAATGGTAAGGCAAAAACCTGAATGTTGAATTGTGGCCTAAAGGATAGATCCCTCAGCACAACAAAGTGAATATCCTTAACTTCAGTCTTGTGGACCAAGACCAAGAATTTAGGCTTATGGCAAAATTTGCATGTCACTCTATACTATAGGTCTGAAAAACCTTTGGCAAATAACAGCCATCAGCTTTTTAAGCTGAAGAGGTGATAAGTAGTCATTCACTATGTTTTTGTTTAGGTTCAGTTGGTATCAATGGCAAAACCATTACTTGTTCCTTTAAATGAAAGGTGTGTCCTTTCACAACTGCAATATTTTGAGTCAAAATGCACCTGGTTTCAGCTCGGGATAAAAATGCAAACAAGGTTACCAAGATTTGATTTCAAGTGTATCTTGGTGTTGCCAGCATCATTAAGTGGTGCAGAGCACCTGTACTCTTCCAGGTAACTTCTCCTAAGAAGGTAACAAGCTTCTGCAAAAAGTAAGATTCCTAGAGAAACATTCCTACACGTCTGGCAATCCTATTTTTTCAGAGCATTATTTATTTATTTATTTCTGAGTGTGTTTGCTGTTTTCCTATAACTGAATGAACCCAAAATCCCAAAGTTGGAAGCACAGTTCTCTTGGGCAAGATGAATAACCTACTAGCTATTTAAACCAGCATTGGATAAAAATGCTGACTTGACCTGCATATGAGTCCCTACAGTTTCACTAAACTGGTATATGTGTGTATACATACATTATATACGGAATCTCACCATTTGTAAACTTGCTCTATAATTTAGGTGCAGTGAAAACTTATGCTCTGGTTTTGTCATCTACTACTTCTTGTGCAAATGATTATGCATTGTTATAAATTGCATGCATCCCTGGGCTATTTAAATCGGTGACAAGCATTCATCTTGTGTTCTGTAATGTACACTTTGAGTTAACCATGGAACCACAGGACAAAGCTAGAAGTAAGAGGCAGAATATGCAAAATGCTGAACATATCACTTCTGTCTTAACCTGTACACACATGCTGGAAGCTCACTTAGGGCATAGTCTACCCAGTGTGTACCACATTGAAATGAGCAAAAGTGGTACAAGAGGGCTACAAGCTCTGGTATTCATTTCATTTGGGCCAGGAGAGCTTCCCAGGGAATTGTGTTAATAACACCTATAAAATATTGCAGATCCATGAGAAATTCATGTAATTTTAAAAAGTAAAGTGTTTTTTCCCCCCCATAGAGTTGAGTGCCCTGTTTTTGAAATGACCGAGAGCTACATGTTTGGTGAAGGATGATAGTTCACTGGTAGAATGATGTGCTTTCTGTGCAATTCTTGGCATCTCTGGATAGGGCTGGGAAAACTCAAGACTCCTGCCTGAAACCCAGGAAAGCTATTTCATGCTAATGTAGACAGTACTGAGCTAGATGGAGCAATGGTCTGACTCTGTATAAAGCAAACTCTTGTTGTTTGCTGTGATGGAGACATGCAATGTGATCTAGTCACAGGAAGATTTCATTTTTAATACTTTTGCTTTGAGGAATGTTTACAAGCTGAGAATGGGATGCAGGTTTCACAAGAATGTTTTAAATCTAGCATGTTCCAAATCACAGTCATGGTAGGCACACAGTTAGCATATGGCTTTCCTTTAAAATGTTTTTGGCCTTGATCAAGACTCTTGACAGGTCACGTACTTTGTCTGGTCTCCAGACCCTGACCTGAGGTTTCAAAGAGCAGGAAGGGTTCATGTGCAGTCTGTAGCCCAGGCATACGAATGAATGAAAATGTCATAAGAAAATGTCATCCGCAGCTTTTTCTCACTCTTGCTTATTCAAAAAGTTAATAAACTGAACTAGAGTGAAACAAAATAAAAAAAATTCCTTCCAGTAGCACCTTAGAGTGAGTTGTACGAATAGTGCAGCCTTTGGTTGAGATTTTGGTTTCTCTGTGCTTGTATGCAAAGAAGATTTTATTTATTTGTTTGTTTGTTTGTTTATACATACCCCACCCATCTGGCTGGGTTTCCCAGGAATGTATTCATCAGAGACTGCAGATTAGCTTCAACAGAACAAAGAGGGAGAAGATCCCTGTTGCGTTTTTAGTGGGTTATGGCTTCCAGTACCCCAGAGCACCCCGTTTATGGCTTCCAGTACCCCAGAGCACCCTAACTGGCTAGAACCTGGAGAAGAAACACTCTCTTGTTAGGAAGAGAAGGTGCACAGCAATATTCTGTTGCAGCTCTTCCTCATTTGTGCAAGATTTTTCTTTTCATGATCATGATGGCTGTGGCACTGCTTGGCCAAGCTGATGATAGCTAGCATCATGTTCACCTGTGTAGAGAATGAAACCTTTTGTAATCCAGTCTCCATGGGAGGAAGGAAGAGTGGATATCCCCCTTTCTGTTTCACTGCTGTACTGTGGGTTCCTTCAGCTCTGTGCTCAGCTCGCTCTCCTTCAGATTTAAACTGAGAATTTCTAAAATTATTTTCAATACTGAGCCGTTTACAGTTGGTGCTTCCCTCCTCCTCCTCCTCCTCCTCGGAAGTTTCCAGCTTGAAAGAACTTATATATGCATTCATTAAAACAGTGGGTAAAAAGAAGCTTCAGACTTTTGAAAACCGGGGGGGGGAGTCTGGGGGTTCAGAGAACCCCAAGTTTGTATCAGTGTTATTTTGTTTCAATGGATGTTTGTAATGTTAAAAAATATGAAGAAAAGAATTAAAAAAGGAGCTTCAGACAGGATTCCCCCACCCCCTATTATTTTATCAATGCACACATGTACATGTGCACCTCAGTTAAATCACATCACAGAAAGGAATCTTGGGGGCCCTCGTGTGACGTGACCACATCAAGGCTCCTTTTCATCCTGTGTTTTAAGGAATTGCACATATGTGCTAATGTGCATTGGCAATCTGTAAGGGAGGGGTGGTAAGAAAGGCAAGCTGTACATGAGCAGATAAAGCCCATAATAATAATAAAAATATCAGATGAGGTCATGCTGCAAACAAGATGAGGCCATTCAGAAGATCAAAACCCAACAAAAAGTGCACATGGGCCAATTTCATCAGCATCACTCCTGGGCCATTGCTTGAAGGTGGTGGAGCACTTGCAAGAAGTCCCAGGTTCAGTTCCCGGCGTCTCCAGGAAGGACTGAGAAAGAGCTTCCCAGATGCTGAACTGGATAGACCTTAGGTCTGAAAGAGCAGGATGCTGGTGTACTTACTTCTCTGCCTGCAACCTTGGAGAGTTGCTGCCAGTCAAGGAACACAGTAGGGAGCTAGATGGACTGTTTGTCTGACTTGAGCCAAGGCAGCTCCCTGTATTCCTAATATTTGTGCATGTGTATTTCTCATGACAATTTATTTATTGTTTCCAGGTCACTGCGTGGCTAGGTGCCCAAAGAACATGGTGCTATGCAGGAATGATTTTGTGGGCGAGGGAGGCAGAAGGAGCAGAGGTGCAGGTAGCAAATTGCCAGTGTCCACTTGTAATTTGCAATAAGCAGTAGTTTATTGAAGAGTAATAGCGACCAGAAGAGAGGAACTCTTTATTTTCTTAGGCAGCCTTTGCTGCCACAGCCCAGTGCAACATCTGAGTGTCTTTAAAAAACTGCAACTTATCTTGGAATTATCTGCAGCATGCTGCAGTTTTAGTTTAGCTTTCTTTCTTTTTCCTGGAGAGGTTATACAGTGACTTTGAAAGAGCCTACAGATGGAGGAAGTCTGTGTATGTTTGTACAATTTATAGAGCTGAGTTGCTGATGGCAGCGTAAAAGCAAGCCTTTGAGTGCCACTATGGATTTCCTAGCCAATCAAAACTAAATTAGGAAACAAAGATTATTAAAAAGTCTTCTGTGCATGTAATTCTAGCATAACATTATGAGTTGGACCTTAAATGTTTTCCTTGGAGATTTTCGGCGTCATTAATGCAGCAAGCCTTTCATTACCAGTAGGCTCGCATTGCTAAAAAATTAGGGAAATAAAGGGCTCTCTGGTGTAGTTAGCAGTGCCATGATTATGTTTACTGAAATAATTAAACCATCGGATTCCATTCATCAGACTAGTTTATAAGGCAAGAAGTGAAATGAATCTGGGGTTTCATTTGGAAATGCCCTAATATATGCATGGATGCCTAAGGACAACAAATCGATACAGCACTGCAGCAGCAATATCAAGAACAAATCTGGTATGGAAGGTTGGTAGCTGGTAATTTATCATGAAGGGGAAAATAACCCATTCAGATTGTATACCTCCCTCCTTTTCTTTTCTTTTCTTCCCTTCCTTTCTTGATGAAAATGGGGGGTTTTTTGGTGAATATCTTCATGTTTTTATGAATGAAGGT